TTCCTAATGCGCTTGAGCCGCGCGAGGTTGGCGGCCGCCTTCGGGCATAAGGCGGGGGGGACGGCCCGAGCCGATCGCCGGCCACACGCCGAGACCAACGGCCGTTTGCGCTCGCCATCGCGCCGCGGGACAATTTCGGGTCATCCGTTAACCTACGGTGCATGTCTTTGGAATGTGGGAGGAAAGCGGAGTACCCGGAGAAAAGCCGCACCGGAGAACATGCAAATTCCGCACGGGAGCTGGAGTCCAAGCCCGCACCGCTGCACTGTGACAAGTCACCAGTCGACCGCCGCGCCGCCCGCACTGAAAACCGCCGGCGTAAAAATAAATCAATAAACAATCAGAATAATTTCAATACTGGGCGTCAATCATTGGCAGATTTTAACTCTTCGCAGGCACTCGCTGTCCCTAAATAGCGAGGAGCCGCAGTGTACAGTCAACAAAGAACAAAATGGACATTTTCCATGAAATGTCACCAGCCGCCACCGACGGCCACCCGCCGAAATTGGTGTCCGATGACGGCGCGGAAGTGGGAAAAGCCGTTCGTCGGGGCAGCGATTGCAGTCGAGCGGCAGCCTCGCGCTTTGGCCCGTCTGACAATTGGGCTCCCCCTCAGGAAATCGAGTCGCTGCTGGTCAACTGGAGCGGGCCCGACCTGAGCGGTTTTGGCGAGCTGGTTCTGGAAGGCTCCTTCAAGGTCCACCGGGTGAAGAAGGAGCGCGCCTTCTTCCTCTTCGACAAGATGCTGCTGATCGCCAAGAAGCGCCTGGAGCGCTTTGTGTACAGCACGCACATCTTTGTAAGCGGCGGCAAACGGCGGACGCGTTCTTCGGCAAGTTCCGCTGGCCGGGCGTTTCTGAGTGAGTTTTTTTTCTCTCTTTTTCTTGGGGGGGGGGGGGCGGGCTACGCGCAGTGCTGCAACCTCCTGCTGGTGGACGCCCTGAAGGAGCCGCTGTGTTTCCGAGTGTCCGACCTGATGATTCCCAAGCAGCAGCACGTCGTCCAGGTGACTTGTGAAAGCTTCCTTCTAAAGTAGCGAGTCATTCCCAAATGTCGTGTCGCTCAGTGAAGCTGCCTTTGTGGGACACAACTTTTTTTTTTTTTTTAACCCTGTTGAGAGCAACTGAGTCAGGTGAGTGTAAGGTGGCAATTTCACACCAAAATATTGGCCTTCATGTGTCTCGTCAGGCATGGCTGCTTTGGCTTGGCTCATGTCCACCAAGGTTCATGTGGACAAGTCAAAGTGACAGATTCCGCCCCCCTCCCCCCACCCCAAAACCTGATTGGCAGTCACTGAACTGAGGCACAAGATGGCTGCTTCAAACCCAAATCTCAGACTTCCTGTGTCTCCCTTTTGTCCGCCTAGCCATGATGGAAATGCCTTCGAAATGTCGTGGTACTCAGTCAGCTTTTGGGGGGGGGGGGGGTTAAACAACCCAGTTGGGAGCAATTGAGTCAATTGAGCATAAAGCGGCAGCTTCCAAACCAAAATATTTGACTTCCCGTGTCTTGCCAGGCATGGCTTCGCGAGACTTTTTCACGGTGAATGTTTTGTTTTTGTTTTCAGGCTTCTACCCGCAACCAAATGTCAATCTCCATGCTTGAAGTCTGACGACGAAAACAAAATGACCACTTGTTGAATACACGTTGGGGACTGTTAGGCTAGAACGGGGCTTTGTTTGGACTTTTTGGGGTGGGTTCCGTGGCTTCCGGAGGTGGGCCAAGTCTTCGACTGGACGACTCAAACACCTCCGCGTGGGTCGGCGCTCTTCTCGCTTGACGGTCTTCGTTGTGTCACCAAGTTTGGTTTTGTTTCTGTATGTATTTTGTATCCCCCTTTGTTTGGTCGAACGCAGACCAAGAACATGGAGGAGAAGAGGCTGTGGGTTCACTACCTCAAGAAACTCATTGTGGAAAATCATCCGGCTACTCTTCCGCACAAGGTAGGTCAGGAATAAAATAACGCAACTCAATCCCCCCAAAATGTCGTCGTGACGGCGGTTCAAGTTGTGAGAATTCCTCCAAGTCGACGCGAGAAGAGTTTTGTGGTGGCCTCTGCTGCCCCCTGCCGGACATTCCGACGAGTGTTCCTACGCCCTCTATTGTTTCCTATGAGTCTCAACTCATTCAGTAGCAGCCAATTCTAGACCAAGTCTGAAAAGACATATAAGCACGTCTTTGGGAGTGAGATCCTCCTGCGAGGCAGCCAGAAAAGGGCACAAGGCGGCACAAGTACTCGGGCGCTAGTCCGTACCCAAAGCTCGAGTCCAAGTCGACACTTGCAAAAGAGACAAAGCGCCCGCCGAGTCAGCTTCAGGAGAAGTTACGAATTGCTGTTTTCAAGTAGCGGAAGTCCAAGTCAATCAATCAATAAAGACCAAAGTCGAGGAGAACTCCTTTGGAAATATATTTCAATACAGTGACCAAATATTTGTACTTGCTTACTTGCCACCCCTCACGGAAGGATGTTCTTCTCTTTCTCCACATTTTCCGATGATCCAATCGCTCTTGCAGGCCAGACAGGTCCTCGGAGACAACATCTGCCAGTGTGAGTCAACGCGCGCACACACACACTCACACACACACTCACACACACATCCGCCTAAACAGCATCACTTGTGAAAACAAACTAGCACGCTGTCACGTGATGTTGTACACAGGATGAAAAGATGGAAAGTTTCATTCCAGGGAGCGCTTTTTTCTTTCTTTTTTTTGTGAGGCAATTTCCAGTCCTGTTTCATTAAGTGTGTGTGTTTGTTTGTTTGTTTTTGAATTAATTCTGGCAAGCCACATTTTACTGTAAATCAAGATGCGATTTTCACAAGAGCATTTTCCGAAAAATGTGTACTCGTTGGTTTTGTCAGGTTCAAGTTTTATCTTTGGCCACTGTAGGTTTTTGTTTCATCAGCAACTTTGTTGATGTGTGTCAACCCAACCCAACCGAGCCAAGGAGCGTTTCATGCCGTTGCCGGTTGCCAAGCAAAATGTCCATGCGGCTGTACTCGAAGGTCGACAAAATCCTTTTTCACTCGAAATGTCCAGCTTAGTTTTAGAACACTCCTGAGCTCACTTCTTGAGACGACACTTTCCATATTTGGGGGCCGTGAATTTCCTCAAAAACCGTCAGTGTGCCTTTTGTGTGGAAGTTGAATAAAGTTTGACACATTTGCTGGACTCCTTTGTTTCCCTTAATGTGCAGTAGATGGAAATTTCCCCTTAGAATTTCTTTGGGGGGGAGGAAGGAAAAAAAATCATGCTTTGGCGGGGAGCAACCCGCAGCTTTTTGTGCGTCTGACATTGACAAAAAAATGCTCTGTATGAGAATAAATCCTCTGTCATTCAAACTCACGAATGACTCCACCAAATGACCTCATGTGTCGCCATATTGCGTTTTTGTAAATTCGGTGTCAGACTTACTTTTGGTGTGCGCGAAGCTAACGTCCGCTTCCTGTTTTCCAGCAGCCCCCCAGTTTGAGCATGACCACCTGAAAAAATTTTCTTCGGCTTCTCCGCGGCCGGACGACGTACACGCCTATCGCCGAGGGCGACGTCAGTCAGGTGCCAAAACGACGACCGACCCTCTTCATCCCTTTTCACCATTCCTTTCCGTCGACTTTGGTGCGAGTAGTGGAACTATACGGGACGGATGTTTTCTCTGACCTTCCAGAACCACCCCAGCTGCTCACGTACACGCCCGAAAAGAGCAGGAAGAGTTTGCCACTGCTACTGGAGGGAAGTCTGCCTTACAGGCGGACCAGGCGACAGTCAGGTACACCCGCAGACCTGGCTCCAGTCAACATGGCAATGTCAGACCTTTCAAGAGACTTTCAAGGTCACTTGTCGGAGCCACAAACGTTGACCGATCGTTTTGTTTTGGTTCCAGCTCCAGCAAAGGACCTCGAAGCAGCATTTAATCATCACGGTGAGCAAAAACCCCCGATGGAGTAAATCAATCAAAGAGAAATTCTGATGCAACTCTTCGGGGCGTTTCATCGCCGAGCCAGAATTGAGTGTTTTGCGCGTGACTCATAGATGAATCAACAGTCATCATGACGGGGAAACTCCACTTGGGGCCCAGATAAGCGTCACGGAAAAATGTGCAAAGGCTTTAACACGGACGCATTTTCATGGACAATTTTCAATACAATGCCCATGCGTCGGCAGACCGAAAAGTTCACATGAGGACATACATGGCTTGACTCCAAAAGCGAGGAGGACATCGGAGTCCACTTGCGGACAGAAACATACACCAAAGGACTCGTACGGTGGGACAATCTGACTTTCGAGCAGACCTGGTGACCTTTTGAGACACGAGTGCCCAAAAGAACTCGAGGGCGGTCGCAAAGACAAAAATAAGAGACAAGACGACACCGGTGGGGTAGACATTGATGGTTTGGCGACATGGACCTCGACGCGCACCTGAAGACGTAACCGTCGGCTTGCTTGGCGACATCAAAGTACATTTTTAGACATATGGAGACCTAAAGACAGATATGAAGAAGACCACTTCAGAGACAAGACCGAAGGACACTTGAGACTCAAAAAGACAAAGACGACAGCAGTGAGCTCTCGTGTGACACGCCGACACCTGGCTGCTTTCAGATCGGCAGTTCGGTGCCACTTCAGAGTCGCATCTCGCTAGGAGAGCCAATGAGTTGTCGTTTACGTTGCGCTAACATTCTTCTCCTCTCTCCTCCAACTGCTCATCCTCATGGGACGTCCCCTTGCAGCCCTGAAGGTTAGACCACGTCACGGTACTCCCTTTGTTTTCCGAAGTCAGCACGTGTTGTGACGAGCGTTGCAAATGTGTCCCAGCAAGCCGACGGCGAGTGCGGGCTGAACCGGGCCGACTGTTTTGGCTGGGCGGGAAGCAGCGGTGCGCCGGCCTCCTCTGTCATCCCGATGGAATCAGAGCGGAACCGCGAACGGGAGCAAGAGGTAAGCTTCGTGCAAACACCCACCAACTGCAATTTTACCCTACACCCTTGACAGATATGTTTTCCTAGGACGATGAAGAGGATTTCGCAGCCCTCTGCGCTCCCCCCACTCTGTCCATCACCGAGGAGATCCTGGAGTTGATCAACCAGAGCCGAGCAAGGGAGGCGCTGGTTTCTCCGGTGAGCAGACCTTGTGCTCGATAGACTCCGGCATGGAACTGAATACCCTTTCTGTTCCTCTCAGGATCGGGTCCTGGATCAGCCCACCGAGTCGCAGCCTCCACCTTACCAGAGCAACTTCACCTGCCCGCTGCCCCCAGTTGCTTCCACCCCAGAGGACACGCTCGGCCCGGACCCGCTGCGGGAGGACGTGGAAACTCGCCCGAACAGAGCTGTGGAAGAGCAGACCGCTAGCCCTCAAATTGGGCTGGAAAGTGCTCACGTGGTCCACGAGAAGGGGCAAAACGCATCGCGCGCAGAGGAAGCGTCGGAACAAGAAACAGATATTCGGAACCCGCCAGACAAAGGCGAGCCGGGGAAGCCTCTCATTTTGCCGACCCCGCCCTCAGCCCCAACAGACTTTCCTTCTTCCAACTCAGTCACGGAGGACCGCCAGGCGAGTCGTACATTTTATGAGGAGGAGGCCGCCGATCCCTCCACGAATCCAGATGACAGTCATCGAGCCAGCCCGAGCGATAAGCCAAAAAGAGGCTCCGCTCTGACCCAACGTGACAAGAGGATCATTGAAAAAATCAGAAGTTATTATGAGGCAGCCGCTGAGCTGGTGGAGGACGAAGAGGCAGAAGATGCCGGACGGGAACACGACGAGACGTCCGAGAGGAGGAACAGTTCCTCACAAGTCCCCACGGAAACGGTGAAAGATTCGGTATCGCGTTTCACAAGTGACCACCAAGACGAGGGCAGGAAGGAAGCAGTCGAAACGGAGCCCGATCACGATGTGGCGCTCCCTTCTCCAGCTGGTCCGGCTTCTCCCCTACTCCCGGAAGATTCTCATAATCATGATGGACATGCCGACATGCCGACAAGGCTCATGGATGTGGAAGCCAAAGACGGAAATAAGTCACCACTCTTCACCCGGACGGACGACGATGAGGTCTTTGTCAATCTGCCGTCAAGCGGCATCCAGTCCAGTCAAGTTGAGGAGAAAACCGAGCGGGGAAGCGGAAATTTCAGCAATGAACAATCACAGCAAGAACCCAACGAAGGAGCAGAGAACAGTCAACGAGAGGCGACCCCATGGCAAGAAGAAGGACCTTTTACGCAGAGTAATGACACAAGTCAAAGTGTTCCTCCAGAGTTGGCGAGGACCAAGGGGTCTGAATGGCAGCTCAAAGAACCAAAGGAAGAAAAGGAAAGTCTCACAGAATCTTCAGGGACTCTTTCAAGTACCCCACAATGCCCTGAAACGACGCCCGCTTGGACTGGAAGCAAACATAAAGGGACCAAGACGAGTAGAAACCTCGAAGAACTTCCAAGTCAAACTCAACTTGGACGAGGTTCCCGACAGTCCAGGATTGTGTCAACAAACCGGGCCTTGTTTGAGGGCATGGTCTCAGACATCACGGGAATCGGCTTATTCGAGGCCAGCCCTGTGGCGGACCCCTCGCTCATGGAGAACTCTGAGCGTATTCTGAGCAAAGTGCAAACTCTAGCAAGTATGTACAGTGCTAAAGCCAGCACCATGAAAGTCCCCTTGCATCAAAAACGAGCCATTTTTATTCGTAACAAAGCTGGAGATTTGACGGGACCATCTTCGCTTTCAAGCCAGACTCAGTGTCATTCTCAGGCAAAATGTAGGCTAGGAGGGAGGCGACAGCCAAAATGTGACGTCCCAAGTCAGGCCCCTGCCAAAGTAGCCCACACTCCCAGACCCACATCCGATGAGCAGACTGACACCAAGAACGGGTCCCAAAGATTCTCTCGGTCCAAAGCACAGAGCGGCTCCCTCACTCGGACCGAGAACGGGTCGCACGTCCCTGCTAAAGCACAGATGTTGTGTGAACGCCAAAACCATGGCGAGGCCGACGGCAAGAACCAAAATCTCACCGTGAGCCGGAGGGACATCGGGAGCCTGGATCAAAGGGTTACACCGGAAAGAATGGGTACCTGGTCTTTTTCAAGCGTTTCACAGTATCTTCCGCATATCGCTGGTGTTGGGTTCGAGAGCCGTGGCTTTTTCAGAAAACCGGCATCTTTGTCGACCCGTTCCCAAGCTATTTTCAACTCTTTAGATCGGTCGCTAAAATCACAGACCCCTTGTGGGCCAAACAGTATCTATGTGCGGGACACGAGAGGCTTCGGCCCGACGCCAACCCAAAAAGACTTTAGTGACGAGATGAACACAAATGCTTCCAGGTCGTTTTCCTCTCAATCTCATAAGATCCACTACTGTATGGAGGTTTGTTCATTGAGGTTCTCTCGTAGATGTCTCGAAAACGGCGGTGCCCAGTGAGGAGCCAAGCCCTGCCCGTCAACTCCAGTCACATGGATTCACCTTCTCCAGGCCCAGGGACTTCATCGCAGCGCCGAACAAAGAGCAGAACTGCGGTAGACCGGATGATAAACTCCAGTCAACCACCGCGCCAGAAGCGGTCTCGACTGCTGTACGACGCCCGTGTTCATCCGGTCTCAGTCAAGAGAAGAGTCACACCCTCAGGTATGTGCTTCAGACATCCTAAGTGGATCGAGTCTGTCTTCTGTCCTAAGGCAGATGACCTTTTTTTTTCTCCATGCCTGTCTGTAGGTCAGAGCTAAGAGAACATGTTTACACAGAGGACACAGCGTCTGTAAACAGCATTGTCAAACACTCGGCTCTGTCTTCGCACACACCACATTGGAATGCCTCCAAAGGTGAAGATGGTCATTCCCACTATAAACAGGATTCAGCAGCTGTGCAAGGCAAACGTGAGCCACACTGCCAGATCCCTGCAAAGGATCACGAGAATGCGAGTGAACCAAGCAAAGATAGGCGCAGTGTTCGCTCGGGGCTTGAACACTTGGCTTGGACCGCATCCAGCCAGGCTGATTCAAGCCCAGGAGAGAGGAGCCCATTGTCATCAGCAGAGGACCTGACATCCTCGCAACACCGGTCTCTGTTCGTATCGAAACCCAAACAGCTCCCGCGGGAGCGTCCGAGAGAAGCCTTGAACTTCATGGGTGGAAGACAACATGCTGCGAGTGTTTCCGCGGGCTCAAGCAAAGAGGCTCTGCCGACTATGAATAAGACAGAGTGTGAAGTCAACGGTCATTCACAACAAACGTGGAAATCTTTGCCAGATGTGAAAGCTCCCGGGCCAACATTCCAGAGGCCGCAACGAGAGGGACCAAGTCCATTGTCATCAATGCAAGTCCTGGAATCGAATGTGGCCCAAGCTTTCCCTCCAACGGCGGAGTCTCACGAACGCCTGCCAAAATTCACCGGCCAGAAGCC